GTGTGACCTTCTTGGGATTTTGATGTCATTTGATTTGGATTATTTTACTTCTCATTTTTGTTCTGAATGAACTTTTTAGGAACCGTGTTTCTTGTTTTTTTTTTTTTTTTGTTCCTTTTTTCCATGCTGTTTCTCCACATGCATAGGATCCACTCAGGTTTGATCAGGGAAGGGGAAGCTGATTGGATACAAATTTATAAATCATTTATAAATTCAATAATAGTTAATTTGAACAACACATTCTTTACTGCTGAACTTTGAGCTGACAATTGCTATACAACATTGGACAAGACTGAACACAGGAATGAACTAGATCTAGATTACAGCATTTTCCCCTTTAATACTATTGAGTGCTATTCAATTGTCATACCAAAAATGCTATGAATGTCAAAATATACTAGCTCAACTTCTGGATTGGATTATTCTATTTCAGTTTCTTTTGAACCTCTCCCTGTCTCACTGCCTGCGTGAGAGAGAGAGAGAGATGGTTTAAAGAAATTTGGGGCTGGGTAGTATGGGCAACCTAAAAGGTGGTCCAGGTGACTGTTTGATTTTGATGACACTTTAGTAAAGTTGTATATAATGGGCCCTTGTGGACCAAATCTTTAATTATTTCTCCTCCATATTCTTCATGAAATGTATAAAGTGATTCCTTTCCCTATTGAATATGCTATATCCAACTAAAGGGCTCAGTGGAAACTGTAAAGTGTAAGCACAAGCTCGGACTTGTGACTTTGTATATGGATTGCATTGAAGTGAAAAAGCAGCTTTTATGGCTTATGCCTTATGCTTTGATTATTGCCTTCTTTGTTTGGTTAATTAATAGTAGTGTCTTTTTCGTGGTCGCTTCGTGTGTTGGCTTATTTATTTATTTTTATTATTATACGCATTGTTTACCTCGTGATTGAATCATTAGCTGAAAAGAGGATAAATAATTAATTTTGCATGTTGATATAAGTTTGTTGCTTTTGTGTTTTTTAAGAGAATTATTTCAACTTTAAGGTATTAACAGTGAGAGAACACAACTGGCTTGAACACTTTTTAAACCCAAAGATCCTTACCTTTTGGGAATACATACCTCTAGCCATAGTGATTCAGGGGTCGGGACTACTATTTGTCTATGATCGAACTACCACTGCACAATAGCTCTGACAGAGCATGTAATGCAAATTTTCTGAATTGGTTCTACTATTTGTATATAATAAATTTCTCTGTGATTTGCATCAGTTTGTTGAATTTCCCATTCTCTTAAGCACTGAATGTAGCTTTTAATCATCAAAACTGAAAGAATTAGCGCAGGCAGAGAGTTACTTTTGAAGTAATTTACTCATCTGATAATCTAGTACTTGATGCCAGTGAATATGTCATCCTTTGTCAAGCTAACCCAAACTGTATTTATTTCGCTTGTTAGTCCTTTGATGGTTATTACTTCAAGGGTGGTGTATGTGAACATTTTACCATAGTAATCTTTTAATCAAACGAATCTCAAGAGTTCTTTAGGATAGAAATGTGTAATTTCATTAGTGATCGCATGGATGCTAATTTCACAAAAATTAAGTAACAGTTTGGTTGCATGTGTTACTGTCGCTAAAAGTAATTTGTCTTGTGGCAGGTACGTGTCATCTGACCTGGCAACTGATGTCATTGTAATTGTTGGTGAAGTTAAGTTCCATCTTCACAAGGTAACTGCTATCAAACTATTCGTGTAGCGAACAAGTTCAACTCAAATTATTTCGTTTATCAGCATTTCTAAACTTCTCTAGATATTATCCCTGGTTAAGGAACTACACATTTGTGCTTTTCTGTGTAATTACCATATTCATTGACCATCTCGAATTGTCACATAAATTTCCTTTCGATGCATAATTTTGATAAAAAAATTTCTAGGTTCTCTAAATATGATTAATTTAGTTTAATTAATTAGGTTAAATTGTTTGTTGCTTTCTTTCTGTTTTTTCTTTTGTGGGGGTTATTAATTTAATTTACAATAGTACTTCTACCTAATCTCATTTGCATACACGCTGCTTTTACTTTTCAATTCGCCTCTTGCTCTATGATATATGGTATTGATTTGTGTTTACAGTTTCCTCTATTGTCCAAGAGCAATCTCTTACAAACGCTTGTTTCGAGAGCCAGTGAGGATAGTTCTAATGAAATTAAGTTGGTCGATTTTCCTGGTGGACCGAAAGCATTCGAAATGTGTGCTAAATTCTGTTATGGAATGACGGTTACCCTTAATCCCTACAATGTTGTAGCCGCACGTTGTGCTGCAGAGTATCTCGAGATGATTGAAGATGTTGAGAGAGGAAACCTGATTTTCAAGATTGAGGTATTTCTCAACTCGAGTATTTTGCGAAGCTGGAAAGATTCCATTATTGTTCTGCAGACTAGCAAGTCTCTTCTTCCATGGTCTGAGAATCTAAAGGTGGTATCAAGATGCATAGATTCTGTAGCATCAAAAACGTTGGTTGATCCCTCAAAAGTTACCTGGTCCTATACCTATAATAAGAAATTAGCAACTTCAGACAAGATAATTGAGAATGCCATGATGTTTCCAGAGAAATTGGATTCCGTTCCAAAAGATTGGTGGGTCGAAGATATATGTGAACTAGACATTGATCTGTACAAGCGGGTTATGATTGCTGTGAAATCGAAAGGTAGAATGGATGGAAGTGTTATTGGGGAGGCACTGAAGACTTATGCAGTAAGATGGTTGCCCGATTCAATTGAATCTCTGGCATCTGAAGTTTATAACAAGGGGAACAAATCTTTGGTCGAAACTATAATTTGCCTATTACCTCCGGACAAGGGAATTAGCTGTTCTTGTAGTTTCTTGCTCAAATTACTGAAAGTTGCTATTCTAGTCGGAGCAGATGATTTGTCTAGGGAAGATCTGATTGAAAGTATCAGCTTGAAATTGGATGAGGCTTCTATCAATGATCTGTTGATCCCGGCAAGATCTCCCCAGATGACCATTTATGATGTTGAACTTGTCCAGTCTCTCGTGGATCGATTTGTGACTCATTGGAAACGTAATACAGATTCTAATATTGGCGAGAAGAATAAAATGAAAGAGAATGATTTCGTTTTAGGGCATGGTTCCTGGTTGAACGTTGGAAAAGTTGTTGATGGTTATCTTGCAGAAATTGCTCGTGATATAAATATCACTGTCTCTAGTTTTATTGAGCTATCACAGTCAATCCCTGAGTCGGCTAGACCAATTCATGATGGAATATACAGTGCCATTGATGTCTATCTGAAGGTAGGGACCTCCTTCTCCTTGGCATATATTTTCTCTACTCTAGTAGCGTTATGATAATTGCAATAATTGTTGCTTTTTTTTATGTACGATATTGATTCACGCGCGCTTATTAGGACATATTTTATACAAAATATTGGATACGTCTGGAAAGTTAATGACGAGATCTTAGTTTCTTTTCCTTCTAAAGACTGTCAAGCACTATCCTATTCATCCCAAACTGGCCATTCGATCACATATTTGACTATTCAGTTACAGGCAATAAGTTTTAGCAGATGTACTAAGCTGGTTCTGCAAGTTCGACTTTATTTGCAAATGTTTTTGATCAAGTGTATTTTTGGTGGCTAAAAAGAAGTGTTTAAAGATTTATTTTGTTGCTTGCTATTGCAGGAGCATCCTAATCTTACAAAAGCAGAGAGGAAGAAATTGTGTGGGCTTATGGACATTAAGAAATTGAGTACGGATGCATCAATGCACGCAGTACAAAATGAAAAGCTACCTCTTCGCATTGTCGTTCAAATTTTATTTTTCGAGCAGGTTAAATCAGCTGCTGGAATCCAAGCCGTAAACAACAGTACTGATGCATTTGATACTCCGAGAACCACAGAGGTGAATCTGGCTGAAATAGTGCCAGAACCCCGTCAATCCCTGAGGGAACAGATGGACAACATGAAAATAAAAGACGGTGAATTGCAGAAAAATGGAAAGTTCACGAAAATGGGTAGCAGTAACAGAGATCCCATGCAACTGCTACCATCTCGGTCGAGGAGAATTTTCGATAAGCTGTGGATTGTGGGAAAAGGACATGGACATGGAGAGAATAGAAGTTCTGATACTTCAGGGAGTTCTCAAAGCCCTACTTCAATGATTCAAGTGGAAACAAAATCCACTTCAAGACACAGAAGATACTCTATTTCTTAGAGGATAATGTTAAGGTTTATTTGAAATAGATCGAATCACTGAAATGTAAAGTGGTAGTAATTCTATTACAGTAGATAAAGTTGTTTTTACGTTGTTTCTTCCATCTGATGGTTATTGTGTTATGACTTGTATTTGTGTATCTATTTGATTTACTTTACAAGGACCTTCATTTGCATTGAGAAAGAATATGTTCAAAATCACGTTCAATTTCTTTTCCAAATCCTGTCGCATCTACAGTAAATCTTCTCACATGCCACAAATTACGAGAACAAGATTTTCACAAATTTAACTTCAACATTTGTTTCTTGACATCAAATTCCTTGGAACTTTCATGAATAGGTGCACACTTGACCAAAATAATCACTATAATCTAATATTTTGAGGTTGTTAAAGGATTTATATGTTGTTTCGATCAGAATTGTAAGATTACCATATATAACAAACCTCATATAAGAGTAGATTGAAAACAAATAAAGGTTATTGATTAAAAAATGAATTTGAAGAAAAAATAAATTTTTGTGGAACATGGTTCAATCAGGGACAAATTACATAGTTTAGCATTGGCATCTCAATTATTGGGTTATCATATTTTTTGATCTTTGACCATTTAACTTGTGGATGGATGATGGATGTATGACGAAAATATCGAGTATGTAATTCAAGATTCCAGCGTCGGCAGATAAGAAGGATTTGTCCTGGTTTCTCCCAACCATGAAGGAAAAAGTCAACCATACACAGAAGAAATTCCATTCAATTTTTTCAACCGGCAAATCTTTCCATTAATAATTGTGTCAAAGAATTCAATTTATTCAAAGAAAAGATGAAAATTCTAACAGGCCCTTTTCTTCTAATCCTCTGTTATCTTGTAATATGTAATTTCACTACATTTGCTTGCTCATTTTCACACACTCCGTCTGATGACAGTAAAGTTACTGGTAGAGAATCTAGTGATCATAATGAGCATTGCAAAGCTTGGTTGGTTCAGTCAATCCCCACAGACATGCCCCAACTCTCTCGCGTCCCGGGTGTTCTTTCCACTGGTAAATTTATTATTTTTCTGGGATGTCGTTTTCCATGCTTGATATTTGTTTGTTTTTATGCCGGAAAGAAAGGATGAAGGTAGAATAATAACATGTGACGTATTTAAAGATTATTTATTGTTATTTCCTGCAATGACTACTGTTAGTCTACCTCACGCCCTCTTTTTTTTCTCTCTTTCTTTTTTTTTTTCCATTCAAACTGGAAAATTATGACTTTAGTTTTCCTTTTGATGTTCACTTCAACCTTTGGGTGATCATCGGTGCCTTGAGCTTAAAATTGCATTCCCTTCCTTAACATAAATATGCTTACTATCTCTATCTCAAAAGCCCAAGCTTAAACTTTTAAACGAGGTAGTTCAATGAGAGCCAATATTTTTCAGAGGATATATATCCATTTTGCCAACTTCCCTTGCCTACATTGCTTCACCTAGTGGCTGTTGACCTTGAAGAGTTGATGTGGTTATGAGTACTGTTGGATGCAGTAGTACTCAGTCCTCTAGATTTTCAAGGACTGCTGGATATGCAATAGACACCACACTACATGCGGTATACTTCCTGACATAAATGTGATACTTTTATAGGGTATTCTTTTGGAAAAAGAGGATATAAAATATTTGATGTTGACACGAGCACTAATATTTTGGGGATGTTTAAAGAATGAACATGTTATACTCAATCGTGTATTCATGATTATTGTTTCAGCCATCCAATTTTATAGTTATGCTTTTAGTTGAGGTGGTTCAACATATATAAAATAGAAGTTCTACTGCACTGAAAAGCACACTTCCCCCCTCCCTTCAATTCATGAGACCCTTTGGAAGATGTCCCTCTGCAATGCGACTTCAACATTTTGAACCTATTTTAATGTGAATTTACCAGCTGATGTTTTTCGATGGTTGGCTGGAAATTCTTCACGGAGCTTGGACATAATTGCACAGTACTGGCAGTTAATAGCTCATCCTGAGGATCCTCGATCAGGGGATTATGGATACTCAAATGATGACATGCAGAGATTTGAAGCTAATGATGGTTTTGAAGTCTACAAAGCATTGGAAGATGCTGCTGATCGTGACGTTAATATAAGGTAGGTACATAAGTATAATCTACAGCCACGGTACTCATAAATGGAGTGAATTTTGAGATAAAGGAAAAGGATATTGTAAGGGATTTAGCTAATCGACGACACTGCATAACAAAATCACAACTTAATATAAGCTACATAAAACAGTAATTGTATGACACGAAAATCTGAAGGTAAAAAAACTTCATTGTATTCTATGTCATTTTGAACGCTTCTCAATCTTTTGCTGAAATATATGGCTTGATGATTTAATAACAGTATAAATGCTTTTTGTTAAAGTATTCAAATTTAAATCTGGGAAAACAAAAGCTGGATATTAAACTTATGACTTATCCATGAGTTGATTCAACATTTCCTACTCTGTGGTCTTTCATGATAGGGTGTATTATATGATGTTACTCCTTATATCACAATAATTGGTGCAATTTCATTTCTTGCTTAAAGTTTCATGTAAAACTTCCTATCACCATTTAGTGTAAAGTAATTTTACTACCTTATTTCCTTCATAGCAATTGAAATCAAATTTTGTTCAGACTTTTACAGCACTCTGGAGTTTATCCAGATTATACTCAAGAACCATCCAACCTCGCAGCAGGAAGGCCAAATGTGAAGAATGTCACCTTATTACTTAAGGACTGGTGGGGATCTGGCATAGTCCATACCAAGGTTTGGATATCTGATAGCCGAGATGTTTATATTGGATCTGCAAACAATGACTGGAAATCTCTAACCCAGGTAACTGGATACATAATGTGAAGTACAAACAAACTTAAAAATCAATATTTTTGTATGAAGTTCCTATAGAAGTGTACTAAAGATAGTTTGTAGAGATATTTTCATTATGTATCTTCAACTTACCTGTACAAGATTTACGTAATTAGAATAGACCATTAGTGTGAGAAAAATGAGGTTTTATAAATTTTTCATAATATTATTTTCACTTGCAGTATGTATCCCTTGGCACAAATTTTGTATTCTGTCTACCACAGACACATTTGTAGCTGTCCCATGGAGGCACAACACGTACCTTTCTCTGTGGGCTCAGTTCACGATTTTGGTATCCATATGCGTTAATGGGATCTATTTTTTCCCCTTTTCCTTTTGTGTTGACTAGGGAAGGGGTTCCCATTTATAGGTACTATTCAATGAGTTAAGAATGTAATAGTTAACTAATTATCTTCTTTCTGGTCTATCAGCCTCTTTCTCTCGATCTCCTCTTCCAAACATCCAAGGCCATCTCCACTCCTACACTAATTACTTATTCTGTTGTTTGTTAATAGTTGAATAGATCTCTTTGTCAAATGGTTTTAGGTCAAGGAAGTTGGTATATATCTTGTTGGTTGTCCAAGAATTGCAGAAAATGTTGAGGTTTACTTCCATAACTTGTGGAAACTAGCCCATCTCAATCCTTCAGCTTATACTAAGTCAGTATGGGATCAGCAATGGCAGATTAATCGAAAGGTTCCCTGTTGGTCATACTTTCTCCATCCGAAAGAAAGGTGCAGGTATGTACGAAAAAAAGTACTTAAACTTGTTCTCTCTGTCTTTCATCGTTAACATATCAGTTTAAAATTTTATACACGACCTTTTCTTTTTCTTTTTCATAGGGGGTACGGGGGATTCCTGGTATATAGCAATTTAACCTTAAAGGTTTGGAATTGAAAACCATATTCATCATCCCCAATGCCTAAGTCTAAGGAATTTTTTTTTTTTTTTTTAAAACTCCATGAATGTTAGACCATAAATATGATCGTTGAAGTCATGGGAATGGAAAACGTCTGGAATGTGAAAGGTCTACATTATATATATATATATATACACACACACACACACACACACACCACCACCACCACCACCACCAAAATACACACAGAGAGAATCATAATGAAGGTATACGTTCAGAGACAATCAGCTATACATCTTATTTTGTTCAAAAATTGTGTCCTTTTTCTAATTGGAAGCTACACTCAACCTCCAATTCTGGTGTCTGTAAGCATTTTCTTTACATTGAGTATCACACATAATATCCCTGAAGATTTCCTGTGTAGTTCTCCACAGGCCGTGATGTTTTCTTCTATTTCTCTCTTTCAGAAAACCGTAAACTGTTGCATCCAATGTCAATTTCCTTAACCACTATTCAAAGCCTCCACCTTGAATGTATCAGTAATCTAGTTTAATTCTTGCTCCCAATCATACCTTTCCATGTGCATGTTAAAGTGGTAATACATTTAATACTTGGGAAAAATTATGAGAATTGTCAAATTCTTATATTGGCAGTAATAACAACTGTTTTTTTTTTTCCGGTAGTGGTATGTGATATTCTTTATTATAAAAAAATATGTTTCTGTGTTTAATTATAGTAACTCAGCAAATTGTCTGATGGTATAAGCTGTCAAAGTTGTAAAATTTCTCTAATGATTACCATTTCCGACTTCTTTATTTTGTCTGCAAAAATATTGTGAACTCGCCTTCCCTCTTCTTGCAAAAATATATTAATATGTAGGGAAAGGATCTCCTTTCTTACTTGTTACAGTTATTTACTCTGCATGATGTTGTGACAGGTCACCTCTTCCTAAATACGTGGAGGTCAAACATGTAACAGGCTATCCAGTACTTTCAGACCCAGATATTTTTCATTTTGCAATTGAAACACCTGGAGGAAACTATTCAACCTTGCGGCCTCAATTCAGTTATCTGTCATTTGCTCCTCCCGAGGTTTTGCTTCTGTCATATATCTTTCTATTTGATTTCTTAAGTTTCTGGTTATGCTGCAAGACTCTAGAATCTTTCAGTACAACTGTTTCATTTTGTTGACTGGATTGTGGACAGTTATTTTATATTATAACTTATAAGTACGCAATCTGGAAGATTAATGTCTGTTTGACAAACTGATTTCAACATCAGGACTTGATTATCTAGTTGGAAAATAAAATGTCTTTCAGATCAAATAGTAGCATTCAATCTTAATATTTTATTTTGAACACAAACATTTAGACACATTATTTGATTTTTTTAGATCTATATTCTCTGAATGAGCATGATATATGAAATTGGTGTCATCAGGACATCTATATTAATCTGATGGATGGAAATACTTCAATAGAATCTGGGAAAAAAATATTACTAAAATGTGTTGTTCTGCAGGAAAATTGTCATTCACTAATCTTAATCAGAACCTAATATTTTTGTCTAATGCATTTTCCTGTTGTACTGATCTCCTACTGGCAGCTGTCATTTGCCAAGCACCAGGCGGATGAACAGGCATGGGTGGATACGATCAAGTCTGTAGGAAATGGAGCAACTGTCAGAATAAGTACCATGGATTGGCTTGGTCAATCCCAATACACATCAGAAACAGTGTATTGGTCATCCCTTTCTTCAGCTGTGTCCGAGGTAACTTTAATATTTACACTTTTCAAAGCTTATAATTCTTTTGCATTATATTTGCAGGTTTTTCCTAGTACGTTGTGTTGAGATGAATTCCCTGTTTATCATTCATCTCAAAAAGCTTATAAGTTATTGACAGGTTTTACATTGCATGTTCTAACTTGCAGCTTGTTTTATTCATATTTAGATTTATATTTTTCAAGTTTAGGATCATCTTTACAGTAGGCTTAGTTTTGGTTTTATTTGGTGTAAGGCTTTCATTTCATCTAGTCTGAAATACATTCTTTCGTGTTTATATGTTTTTTGCCCCCTGGCAAACGTAAAATTTGATCTAAGGATGGTCAAACTCAGAAAAACTAGGAATAGCTTTGCATCCTTTAAAGTTGTCAAAAACCATAAGTGCATGTTTGGTATACAGTGATGTACAAGATTTTAGTTTCTTTTTCTTCTTTAATACTACTTGGTATCATCAACCATCATTCCCAAACATACCATAAGGGGGTCCAGGTTTTTTCTGGCCATTCGAGAGTGGTTATCAACATATTTAATGGGGGTAATAGCCCTCTTTTATCGATTCTGATGACAATCAATTCTTGAAGTGGTGTAGTTGTAAAAGGGATTGAAGGTGAAAAATGATTAATCTCTAATAAATCTAATTTTATTCGTTCATCTCTTTAATCTTCAAATGCTGGTCCTTCTGTGACAAGCAGAGAAGTCGTTATCTCTTTAAGTTTCTGCCACAAAATTTGTGATTTTGATTTTTGCCATACTCAATAAATTACAGGTTGTATACTCCAAGCATGCAAAGGTGAAAATACTGGTTGCGTACTGGGCACATTTCATAAACAACACAGATCAGTACCTGAAATCTCTCCTCTACACCAATACTCTATGCTCTTCTTCAAAATACAACAAATGTTCTGGCAAAGTCGAGATCAAGTACTACATGGTACCGGGATTCAACTTAACTGGACCTGCCATCCTCAACGGAAAAGCCACTGGAAACATTTATCCTGGCTACACGAGGGTCAACCATGGAAAATATGCAGTTAGTGATGTACGAGCCCATATCGGGACGAGTAATCTAGTGTGGGACTACTTTTACTGCACCGCAGGTGTCAGCTTCGGGACATATAATCCGGCCATTGTTGCTCAACTTCAAGAAATATTTGATGCAGATTGGAGTTCACCTTACACTGTGCCCGTTGAACCTTTGGAAGAAGGTCATCCATTTTCAAGCTAAACATATTTAAGTACGGAGTTAACTGATTAAGATACAAAAAGAAAGATTTGGCCTTGAAATATATTGAAGGGTTGGAGTTTGACATTCATTCTGTGCTAAAGAACTTCTTAGATGGCAGAAAAATTGCATCAGGAATAAGGCTTTTTATTCTTTTGTAGAAACCCATCCATCCTTTTGATTTCGGTGGACTTCTGAGTGGATGTATCTCTGAATTGTTCATATTGATCAAAATTATTCACATAATTGATCGCGCATTATTGAAATTTATTGGTGTATTACTTTCATGATAGCATATTCAGTGCGGTTTGATGTATTTGAAATTGCAAGTCGTGTAGACGATTGCAAAATACGTAAAAATCCTATTTCAATATTGTTTTTCAACTATCACATCACTTTTAACGTTTTATCTCGTTGTCACTGTAAGTTTAAAAAATTGAAATAAAATTCTTAATTTTTATATGTTTCGGAATGACGTGTGAAAAGCAACATTAAAAGTAGAGCAATAGTTGTTAAATAGCTTTTGAAGTATAGTGATTATTCAAAAAATAATTTGAAGTTCAACGAATAACTTTGAAACCTCAGTAACTAATTGTTTTTTTTTTTTTTTAAGAATTTAAAATTCAGTGATTTTTATCAAATAATGCTGAAAGTACCGAGCTAGTATAATTTTTTTTATTTTTTTATTTTTACGACAAAACAAAATGGAAAAGATGAAAATGTAAAATAAACTAGAACCAACCTTCTCTCAAAACCAAGAGTAAAATATATTCCTCATTATTTTCAAAATATATTTTTCTCTATCTTCTTTTTAATTACACATTCTTTAATAAAATAATACTATACGTAAACTCAAAATTTTTTCTTAGTTTTTAAATACACATTCTCCATCAATCATTATTTCAAAATAAATTCTTGGCAAAAAAAAGGGGCTCAGGCGCTTATTTCGGAAATGTAGGGACCAAATTGATATAGTGTCTGAACTTCAGAGGTGAAACTTTAATTATTTAATAGAATGCACGCTTTTATTCCAAGAAGCTCAGTTGTGCAAAGCAGCAGCATCCCCATTTGAAAACCCTGTTGCCGCAACACAATCGCGCACTGAAAGTTATACCTAGCAGGGATTGATTTTCCATTGAAGGATGCAGAAACTGAAATTTATAATACAACAGCATCGTTCTTTACAAAGATATGTTTTTGCTTTTCATCAAAACCGAACCTTTTCTGCACTTCCCAGTTATGCCCAACTCGATTATCTCCAAGAAGAGGCAAGTTCTTTTCACTGTCTGTAAGTGCCTGTGCATTAGTACGCATGCCATGTATATTAGGAGCTGCACAAAAGCAGAACCTTTGTAAAAAAAATTCACCAGAATGTGCTTCTTTGTACAGAAAAAAGATAAATGCGAGCATATATGATATGTATATTGTATCTTATGGAGTAACGTAATTTTTGAGGGCAACCCTGTGTTGAGTTTTTTCTAAAATGGGCTTACCTTCTTTTCTTAAAAAGATCGAATTCTAATGACTATACATTTATTTATTTTTGTATGTTGATGCAGGTTTTAGTTGAAGGGAGAGCTAAATCAAGGGCAGCCATACTAAACAGACCATCTGCACTCAATGCTCTCACTACATCCATGGTCTGTGCTTCTTTCTATTTCTTGTTTGTGGTTTTGTTTGATAAATTTGAATGCTTTATATCCACTTGCAAAAAATGTAAATTCTTGTATTTTCAACAGTAGATAAAAATTATAGAAGTCTTGGAAGGGAATCCCGTTGCTTTATCTTTTCGTATTCAGTGTTCATATTTTGGGAAATGATGGGTGGATTTCATTTTTGTGGTAGGCTGCTCGTTTAAATAGATTATACGAGTCTTGGGAGGACAATTCAGATATTGGATTTGTAATGATGAAGGTAATGCAGTAGTTTTAACTCTCCACCCTCCCCATTATGGTTAAACCGTCTTCTGTATTGTTGCGAATGGGAGTATTAGTAGTAATATTAGGTCACTGTTTAAATTTATTGAAGGGTAGCGGCAGGGAATTCTGTTCTGGTGCGGATGTCATTACATTGCGTCGGTTTCTTAATCAAGGTTGGTAACTTCTGCATCTTGCTATCTAGGCATTTCTAGTAGAGCGAGTTGAGCTTTTTAGATTTTAGACCGAAGGGTATCAAGCTCATAATGGTGAATTATGTAAAATCCATAACAATTTTTTCTGTCTTTATTGTAAATGTTATAATGAACAAAATCATGGTGACTTTGATATGACTTGTGGCTCAGTCATTCCTCTTTGTTTTGTCTTAGATATTTCTCTCTATTTTCATTGTATTTTAGTTGTACTGGGCAGCCTCAGCTGCTTGTTGAGGATGGTCTTCAAACTGATTTATTAGTTTTTTTCACCATTTGGGTTAACTGATGAAGTATTCTAGGTACATAGCTACATTAGTGATTCAGAATAAACTCAATGTTTTAAAACAACACTTGCAATATGAATGTTCTTTCTTTATGAATTAAAGATGAATGACTTTGCTTATGGTACAATATGATAATTTACATGTTTTTGCTGAAGTCTCGGTGAATAAATCTCTTTCCAGGGAAGGCTGAAGAATGTAAGGCTTTCTTTGAGACTTTATACAAATTTGTATATGTACTGGGAACATATCTGAAGCCACACGTGAGTTCTTTTTTCTCCATGCTTTCTGCTTCAAAAAGAGTTGTAGAAAAAAGTTGGTCAAAGAGTGATTTTGTTATCAAGCATGTCTGTTTTATCCTCTCATTTAGCAATGATGAATATTTTTTCTTGATAGTTAAGACATCATCAATGAGGCAGCAAAAATGCATTTGGTATAGACAGAGTAATCACCTTCTTAACTTAACAAAATTGAGTTTTTGTGTGGTAAACTGAGTGTGTAAGCTCAATCAACCCTGAAAACTACTCTGCTGAGGAGGTTGTAATCTTCAATCTACATTGGATCACTTCTCTACTTGTGCCGGCATTTATTGAAGTCTATATAAATTTATAATCTGAAGTCTGCTTCTAATTTCATTATAGAGACAGTTCTAAGAAATTTCAGATGTTTTGGTTTGTCTTTTATTATATAATGCTATCTTGGAAACGTATTAGAGCTCCTAATAGCTACATTCTTTCAATCTTTCCATTCCTTTAGATGGTCCAATCACTAAAATCAAATGGGGCGTGGATCTAACTGAGTAGAAACCATTTTTGGCATAGTGCCTTCAAATTTGTTACTAGGTAGAAATAGACTTCTTTTATCAAAACCTGAAGAGCCATCCCTAAATGTATCTTTCTTTCCAGCAATTGCTTTTGGAGTTGATAACATCACTTGTTGTTTTACTTGAATCTAATTGGAGAAATATAGGTAACTATGCTAAATGATCCTACCATTTATTATGCCAGATTCTAATGCTTGCCCCTCGCCAATCTTCCATCTAACACCATGTTGCTGATGGGGAGGGCATGGAAAATGCTTTCATCCTCGGCTTTGCTTCTAGAACTGTTCGATGAGGGTTACCAACCTAACGCCAATATAAAACAAGAATGTGCCAACCTTGTTTAGTTAACATGAAAAAGTTGGAGGCCTTCATATCCTTGATTCCAATAACCCAGATATGGGCCACATATTTAGACTAAAGAAGGATATGAAGTTTGAGGGGAGAGAATCTTTCTTCTGGCTGGAGAGATGGAATAGATAAATGATGAAAAAAAAAAGTACATAAATGCATATCAATATATCATTGATTGAAGTTAATTAGCCCTTAGGGAAAATGTTGCCTCAACTAAGCCCTCTAATTGACTCTCTTTAAATTAAAACTCTTTATTTTTCATACTCATTTTCAACCACACATTTACACAATAAAATATTCTGCACGTAAATCTAAAACTTTTCTGTACATTTTTATCACACTATCTCCAAAAAAATCACTGTTCAAAATATCATTTTCCCCATTTCTCTTTATAATGGCCATCAAATAGGGGCTAAATTTGAAGCAGTTGTTTGAAAGACAAGAAAGTGCATGTTTTCATCTTCTACCATTTTAAAGGCAGTTGTCACTTGTACTAATAGCCGAGGAATACCAAAATGTGAAGATAGGTTTCAGGCAGGCATAAGCAGATGTGATCAAATGAGCTTTTTCAGTTCTACCTTTCTTTTCTCTATCATGCTATGCTTCTGGATAATAATCAATCTTGTAAGTAATTTGCTATTAATCAAATGAGTGTTTTTGATTCTACCTTTCTTTTCTCCCTCATGTGTTTCTCTTCACATTTTATTAATAATTTGTTAAGATATAAGTGCCAATTATCTTCTCCTATTCTTGTAGGTTTCAGATTAATCTCGTGCATTATTTCATTATTTGGTAGGGGTATCTTTTTCTTGTGTTATATGCTAAGTTGTTACTTAAACTGAATGGTTTGTCCTTACATCTGCACTTTTGCAGGTGGCTATCCTGGATGGTATCACTATGGGCGGTGGGGCAGGTATTTCGCTCCCCGGGATGTTCCGCATTGTAACTGATAGAACTGTATGAAACAGCTTTCTGGATGGATCTTTTTACTATGCTTCCTTTGTTTTCGATGAATAGTTTTTTGCATATTAAGTTGAAACACTGGTAATCACAGTATCTCAACCATAACAAGCCTATGAAATACACGACTACTGGATCCCAGTAAGACTGAGATTTATAAATGATAAAGATAGCGCTTTTAGGTTCTCACGTGTTGTAACAATTTGACGAGCTATCTGCTTTGAGTTCTGGTTTCTTTGTCATACCCACTTATTAATGTGAACTTCTAATGAATTCCAGGTTTTTGCAACTCCGGAAGCTCAAATTGGTTTTCATCCTGATGCAGGGGCTTCATATTATTTGTCTCATCTTCCTGGCTATTTAGGTAAGATCAGAACAAATATTCTAAGTCTTCATTGATTTCATCATTCCTAAATTGATTGATATTCAGCACATTAGTGCTTATAATGGGAGGAAAACTTATTTTGAGTAGACTTCTATATTCTCAATCTTGGAGTTGGATTTCAAAACGCAGATACTATTACTCCTGTTTTTTGCATTTTTGTTTTTTATCATTTGTATTGTTCCCTTCATTGCTGTTGTGTTTACCATTTATGTTTATCCTAGCACGTTTCTCATTTCAATGTGGGATATCTCCACTAAAGCCAGTGAACTACTTTGGTTAGTAAATGGTTAATTGTGGTCCTTGAGCCACGAGTTAAATCAACCCTCTAATGTAACCAAGTGATAATCTAGAGCATGTACCTTAGGCTGGTGCTTTAATGTGAATATGGAATAATTAATTGTTTGAACTTTCTCTTTGCAGGAGAGTATTTGGCACTTACTGGGGACAAGCTTAATGGTGTGGAAATGATTGCTTGTGGTCTTGCTACACACTATTCACTGAAAGAAGTTAGTCTTTTATTTTCCTGTGAGAAATTAGTATTTTGTTTTCCTGTTTACGGCTCCTTTATTGTACTTGTGTGCATTTTGAAAGTTACTTCTCCTTTTCCTCACAGAGGCTTCCTTGGATTGAAGAACGCCTTGGTAAATTGATTACTGATGATCGTTCTGAAATTGAAAATTCGCTTGCTCAATATGGTGATTTAGTCTACCCGGATAAAAGGAGTGTTCTTCACAAGTAATTTTTTTAGTCATTCTTTTACTTTTTCCCTTCTTCCTCACTCCATTCCATTCTTCATTTTCATTTTTCTGCATTTCTCATTCTCAGTATTTTTACATTGCTACCTTGTTTCTTGGCCCATAAAATTATAATATAAGAAAAAGATCACCAAACAGGAATGCATTGAATAAAGAAAAAAAATTAGAGACTAGACAATTACCCTACTAATCTCAACAGTAAGTTAAAGCTTTATTCCCAATAAATTTGGCTTGGCTACATGAATGTATTTTCACCATTGTATTCAATGTAAGATCCAATGAAATTGAACATTTTTGCAAGTTGCAACCTTGTTGGACTGTTCTAATAGGTTAAAAAAAAATCTATTATTATTATGTGGGCCCACTGAAAATGTGGTTACCTGAAGTAAAATTACAAAGTGAATGCATCAAGTCAAAAAGTAAATGTACCATAAGTTACACTTTTTTTGTGTGCACCCTGGGCAGTTAAGCTATGCCTTGCCCTGGGGTGTGTCCTGTGGTACATTTCATGAGTGCATTTTAGAGGGAATAATCCATATGAAGTAATCGATTTGTTTTCTCTTTGATTGTAAATTCTGCATCTTCATTTCTTTTCAGGTTAGAAACAATTGATAAATGTTTCTGCCACGATACACTGGAGGAGATCATGAATGCTTTGGTAAGCTTATTATCATGAATGGTTACATTCAAGTTAGTTAAAGTTATTGATTTGTTTTGGTCTTATTGTCTGGTTGAAGAGCATGCACAGTAAATTAACTACTGAACAAATGGAAGCAAGGAAAAGAACATTGCTGAATATCATTTAGTACTTCAATGGAAGAAGGAAGAGCCCAATACATGTACTTTATATGCTCAAATAGATCGTATTGATACTCTGTTGACAGCGAACATCTTGTGGTTTGACCAGACACAATTACTAAGTGAATTAAAATTTAAAAATATAACATATTTTGAAATTTCAGGAACCTGAAGGGGGTGTGACAACTTTTACTGTTTCTTGAACTTTTGAGAGTTGATAAAAGAGAACAGTGGATCAAACATGAATTAATGCGTGTTAACAAAACAAAATGGATTTATTCTATGGTAGTGGGCATAGCTATGGAATGGTCTAAATTAGAATCGAACGTTTTCAATTTGCGGTGAAGTAACTGTGATCTGGTTAAGTTGAATTGTTTCTGCATAGGATTAAGTCTGTTTGTTCTTGTTGGGAAACAAAATTAATTTCACTCGTCAAGGAAAAAAACTAGCTAGAATTTCCTTTTCATGGATAAATTGTTAGCTTCTCACTTACGCAATTATGCCATCAAAAGAAATTTGGATCGATTCTTGCAGGAAATTGAGGCTGCAGAGTCTTATAATGAATGGTGTACTGCAGCGCTTACAAAATTAAAAGAAGCCTCTCCATTGAGCTTAAAAGTGTCTTTGCAATCAGTAAGCTACTAGCTGCTTTCACTCTATGATTTTTTCTTTGTACTTGGGATGCTAAGCTTTTTATCTTTCCATGGGAAATTCATAGATTCGAGAAGGTAGGTTTCAAACTCTTGATCAGTGCCTGGCAAGGGAATATCGAATATCGCTGAAATGGATTTCCAAACAGGTGTCAAATGATTTTTCTGAGGTATGGCTTATCCGATACTCGACTTGAAGCAATTTTGTGATGTTCATATCTAATTCTCATCATTTGTAGGGTATTCGTGCAAGATTAGTTGACAAAGACTTTGCTCCAAAGGTGCGTATTGAATTTAAACGTACCAGAAATTTGTGAAGTTCTTTTCGAGAAATAGAACTTGTTGACCAATATTAAATCTAAAATTTCAGTGGGATCCTCCCAAGTTGGAGCAAGTAACTGATGACATGGTTGATAGCTTTTTCTCCCCTCTTGGTGAACTTGAGCCAGAACTAAATTTGCCTACTGCATTGCGAGAGCCTGATGTATGAAAGCTTTCCCAGTTCTTATAGCGGTGCTACGTTTTGGTCTCCATTTACGACCAGTTTTCATGTGGTGGTACGAGTTTCATGCAGGTTTCTTCATTTAGTAGAGGAAATGAACCTAAATTATCGATGTAGCATGCTGTTTCTGTAATTGCCTGTGGCATCATTTTATGTTTCTTTACCTCAAGTTGCCTAGGGACCTGCTTTCTCGATTATTTGTGAAGCACTTTATGCTAAAAATTATTACCTTTAATGAGGGTGTGGTGAGATTAAGCTACTGGGATTGGTTTATCGCTATCTATTTTAGTTGTTCTTTTATTCTCTTTCTTTAGTTTCACCAAGGCATGTAGTAAAGTATTTAGACATGTTACTCTTAAAAGATTATACGTTCTTTTTAATTTTAAACAATTAAGTGCGTTAAAAGTTGAAATTGTCAACTATCTATTGATCGATGGTTGATTTCATCCTTAACGTTTTCATCATAACAAATAAGATTAATATTATTTCTAACAATTGATTTTGAGTAATGATTTAATATTGTTTCTAACAATTAATTTTGAGTAATGATAGTTCAATATTAAAATCAATCAAGCATTGTCAAAATCAATTGTCAAAAGATAAATATTAAGAAAAAAATCAAGAGCATGAGCGGCGACATAAAAAATAGATCAACGAGAAGCCTAAGAGTCAAACTTCGAAGCAAGATAAAAAATTAGACTTCTTAGTTCAAATATGAATGTCATAATATTTTGATATTTAGTAATGAATGATAAATGTTCAAAAATCATTATGCAAGAAAATACTATTTCATAAAAACACTTGCATAAAAAAATTTATTCTTAAAAAAGGTAAGTATTTCAATTTGATATTTAAATTTTTTATAACGTTACTTACGAAATCGTCCTTCAAAAATTCACATTTTTCAACAACAAAAAGAAAAAGGACAAAGTCAAAGTCAAAGCGGGTGTCCGATTGACCATGAGGACTTTCGATTTGCCAACGGTCATTTTTTTAATCGTTCTGATTTCTAACACACAACAGCTAGTTGGGTCGTCTGGTTTATCTCATCAAAGTTTTTCACTTCTCTTTGTACTTAACTTATTTACATCAATCTTAAAAGAAATATATATTTTTGAAGAAGATCTTTACACTTACATTACAAAAACTTTCCAACTTCTTCATATTGCAAACTTTGATTGATTTAATTCCTCGTAAAATCATCATATTCATCCAAGTTTTTCATTTCTTTCTTAGTACTTAATTTATTACAATTATTCATTAAAAGATGGATATTTCTTGAGACGATTTTTGAACCTACATTGCATTTATTTTTTCTCTATCTTTACATTAAAATGCTTTGATTGATTGAATATAATTTTTTATTATCATATTTATCAAAAAATTTCATCTAACAGTTGAGCTATCATTTATTACTTATTCAAGTGTTAACATTTTTTAGTACTTAACTTGTTTATATTATCATAAAAAAGGGAATTTCATTTTAGAACCACTTTGATAAAGTGTGGGTCGTGTTGAAATCCCGTAAAAATCAACATTATATAAGGATCGGTGCTCTTTGTTGTAAGTCACTGTGTAAGTTTTATGAGATCCTGTAAAACTTAATAGTGTGGGTCATATTGAAGTCCTGTAAAAGCTCAATAGTAGTTCGTTTTAAGGTCCCGTAAAGCTCAATATTTTATAAGGATCGATGCTCATTGTTTGTAAATCCGAAAGCGTTGTAAAGGGTTATACACTATAAGTCAATCAATATAGTGAAAAAGTCTTGTTCGTGTCGGAGAGTTTGGTAACGGAAAACGTAAATCATTGCTTTGGATCGAACCTCTACAATTATATTGTTTGCGTAATCTCTCTTTTACGTATCGTTTTTATATTTGTTTTTATTATTTGAATTAATTTATTTAATCTTTACTTGCTTGAATTTAGAATAATTGCTTTATTTCACAATTTATCTACATTTTATTTATAGGAATATAAAAACTTCAGTCCTAGATGATATGCAATTTTTTGAGCGTATATTTGACAATTTATCTACATGTTGAACTGTTTCAGAAGAATTCATAAATGCTTTTGCACAAAACGTTCTTGTAATTTGTCTTTTGCGCAAATTGTTCGTATCATTTCAATTTTAACATTTGGATCATTAAATTTATCAAACGTTGGGCAAATTGTGTCTATTATTCATTTCCTTCATTAAAGTCTTGTAATATTACTTTATCCTCATTTTTAAATAAACAAAAAGAAAAAAAATTGCATTAAGAGTTCTAAATTTTTTTTTATAAAGTGCAAATGAGTTTCATTTAAAATAATTTTTTTTTAAAAAAAAAATGAAAAACAAAAAAATATCTTTCTTCTCCAACCAATTCCACCTATCCTTTATCCGACTTTCTTCCACTACCCATTCCCTTCTCCCTTCTCCCTCTCCCTTACCCGTTACCATCACCACCATATTCTACTTCGCAAGTAGAATATTTTAGTATATTAATTTCTCAAAATCAATTTCGAGTAAATGAGAAACTAAGATCAAAATGGAGTGATCTAACTTGAAATTGAGTTGGAAATTAGTTGGAAAATGAAAGGTCAGTTGTCCCACACTAAAAAATTAGAAGCCAAATTTCACTTTATATAATTCAAGTTAGAGATTTGGGTTTGGGGTCCAAGAGGCATCAATTGTCTTTGGAAGGGGAAGACTTGTGCGTGGGTTGGTTCAGACCAAATTCTATGTGCGTGTGTTGACCTCGTTGAGCCGAGCTCGAGCACAGTTGTGGGATGTGAGCTTGGACTTGGGCTTCGACCAAGATGGTATTATCTTTGAGGAAATTATACCTACATCTGGAATTAGATTTTCAATTTCATAATTAAGATCACAAGTTTAACATTTCAAAAATCAAGTTTTAATTAATAATTTAAAAACATTTTTTATTATTATATCTATTCACAATAAAATAATTTAACCCAACAAAACCCTAAATCATTTCAACCACTTCTTCCCCTCCACCCTCTCTCCTCCCACCGCCCGCCGCCCCAATTACCTCTCCACTCTCATCCTCCTCCCGTCTCTCTGCTCTATGCCGTCGTCGCCGCCACAGTCACGGCCGTCACTCTTTTTCCTCTCCTCTCCTTCTTCTCTCTACAACTCTCTATCTCTCTCGTTTCTCGCTCTCGCCTCCACGACTGTTGCAGAGCCACCGTCTAACGATACTTCCAGCCCAGATCCGCTCGCCCAGATCCGATTTGAGGTCCAACATTTCATCTGTGTTCTTTCATCCGTTCATGTCACGTAGAGGAGGCGAATGTTGTGTTTGAAATGAGGTTTATATGTTGTTTTTGTGTTAATGTTGGTAGCGTAGAGGGGCGGTGGTGCCGTGGTTGTTGTAGCTGGTTGGGTGCGATGTTCGTGGTGATTGTGCGGTTTGCGATGGTTGGCTGTTGGTTGGGTGTGTGTGTTTGTACGGCGGTGGTGATCGTGTGGTTTCAGTGTGTTTCTGGTTGCGTGCGGTGGTTGCGTTTCTGTACGATAGTTGTGCCATGGTTGGGGTTATGTGCCATGGTTGTGGTGTTTCTATGCGATCGTTGCGGTGTTGCTGTGTTATGGTTGGATGTGTGCGCGTGTGGCGGGTGTGGTTGTGCTACGTGCGATGGTGGTGAAGATGCGGCGACGATGGTGGTGCCACTAGTGGAGGCAATGGCGAAGTTGTGGTTACAAATGATTTGGTGATGGTCACAAATGATTTGATTTTTTGTGACCAATAATTTGGTTAGTTTGTGACCTATGAATTAGTTAAATTATGACCAGTACAAGCTGTGTGACCTAAAAATTATTAATTTGTGACCTAAAAATCATTATATGTGACCAATAAATTGATAAATTGTGACGTAAATAAGTATTGTGATTTATAAATTTTGTGATGTGTGACCGATGAATAAATTGTAACTTTTAAAATTTTAAGTTGTGACCAATAAACAAATTGTAATCTATGAAAATTTTGAATTGTGACCTAAAAATTTTCACCGAAGTCAGTCGCCGGAGATGATTTGTGATCGAAACGGTAGCAGGAATAGTCCTCAGAGAGGTAGGGGTGGTGGAGGTGGGGTGGGGTAATAATATTATAATAGAATTAAATATTTAATAATAAATTGATTTAATAATTCATTAATTCATAAATAAAAAATTAAAAAACCTGATTTGTGAAATTTGAAACTTGTTTTTGTATTTTTGAAAAGGTGTAAAGTAAATACCTTAAAAATGTATTGTTCTCATTATCTTTTTGGAAAAATAATTTATTTCTATTTAATTATATTTATATTATCATCCAAATTCGAATTATTAAAAAGCAACAAGTGGCACTAGCGAGATTGTGCCAAGTGGTGGCTAGTCTAGAATTTGTTTGTCCTTCTGATAGACATGACTTTTTGACAGAATCTATCCATATCGAAAATGTCTTATCATATCAGTATCTTTTCATACACAACTTTTCAACCATTATAGATTGACCCCCCATATTCTTGTAAATTTCGCTTACTCATATCCATTTCATTTATGCCTTGCATACTTGAAATACATTTTGCATTAGTCCTTTTTTCTTCATTCTCTATTCCATGATAGGACTCGAATGGACTAGCGCGAAATTCTTATGGTTCTTGTTTTTCCTCTTCTTGTCCTTGTATTCGTCGTTTACGGTATGATGACAGTGGCTATAACTCCAAATCACAATGTCGGTGCCATTATATCATCTTTTTTCTACAACATTGGGAATCTGTTTTTCGAGATTCATTATCCCTCGACCTGTAAGTTCTTGACATCACATTTTTCATTAAGATGAGCATGAATTCAAGAAAATTTTGACCGGCATTCCCTTGTCAATTACAGGGGATCCCTGTGTGGTGGAGATGGTACCACTGGGCAACAACGGTCGCTTACTCCTTGTATGGTTTCATAACATCCCAATTTGGAGATATTCAAGATAGGCTCGACACTGGTGAAACGGTGGAAGAGTTCCTGAGAATTCTTGTGTTCTATTACACCATTAAAATGTGCAAGTTTTGTAATTTTTATTTTAAACAAATTACAATTTTTCATATAAATCTCTTGTTACCTCTCGATACTACATTAATATTCAACCGAATTTTGTCTACTAAGTTACATTTATTGATTAACTTAGTTTCCACAGCAGAATACACCATTAAGAGAAGTATAAAGAAAATAAAAACAAGGCTTTAGACTGTTCCAATCCAATTTGAAATGGCTATATAATTTATAAGCATTTTTATAATAAAAATAACCTCAGAAAAAATTCAGTCCATGTACATACTACATGAAAGTTCTGAACGAACCACTGCAAAGTGTGCAAAGAAGATGGCACGTTGATGTTGGGCATTGACTGATAAATTGGGCTGAAGCTGGTTTTTATTGTTGGGCTGGACTGCTTTAATGGAAATCTTGTTTTTGGTTATTATTTAACTGGGTGCGTTTTTTACTTACCTCTGGAAGGTGGAGATGTCGCCAAGTGTTGCCCCAGCAGCCGTAGGATGGTGACTCTTCTGGAGACTTCTCTTAAAGGCTAGGGTTGGACTTTTGGACTATCACTCTCTCTCATTCTCTCGACTTTTCAGTCTCTAGATCTCTCTGCTCTCTCTTGCGCCTTTCTTTGATTTTGCACTCCATATTGAATCCTCTTGTAAATCTGTGATAGTATAGCTCATGTACAATTCTTAAGTGATTTGTAGTGAGCTCGTGTATTCTTGTGTGGATTCTTTTGTGTGATTCGAGGGGGTTTGATGTACTGTGATGATTCTTGTGTGATTCTTCACTGAGTGCCAGTTGTAACGAAGAATGGACTTTGATCCTTGGTTAATAGAGTGATTTCTTTCGGATTGGCGGAAGCTCAAAAGGGGATTAGAATTTATCCGAATCTCTTGTCTTAGTGCAAAAATCTCTCGTCTTCTTTACTGTTTTTCAGTTTCTTGCACATATTTTTTGTTACTGTATGTTTTAGTTGGCTGATTTGTGGCATTTAATCTCTGCAAATTGCCTATCATATAATCATTATTTTTAAACGAGCAACGAGAACGGTTGCTCGTCCGGTTATCCTGATACACTGAAAAAGTAATAACAAACAAAAGATAGGGAAAACATGGCACAGAACAAGATACCCTCCAAGCAGTTCCACAGTACTGACCGAAATCTCAACTTTCAAGAAGTTGTCTTGGGATCTTTCGCCTACTTTGACAGGCTATTGACTGGAATGGGCTTAGAAAGGTCGCAGTGTCTTTCCACCAAGAGAGTTCTCTCTCTTTCTCATGAAGCTTGTGCATTGCACATTCTAAAGCTGATTCAAGCTCTTTTATCCTTTCTTGCTGTCTTTCTTCTAGAAGTTCGTGCAATCTATATGCGAGCTCGCTAGGATGAACTCCATAGTATTCTCTCGGCTCAGGCTGGTCGATAATTTCTCTAGACCTTGTACTGAGGGTCTCTTCAGGTGCAGTGTCCTCTAGATTAATCTGCCAGAATGGAGGTACAAAGATTCAGATGAGCAACATACTGGAAAATGAACGATGTTATTGGAATCCAGAAAGGTGAAAACTGGTCCTAGAAAATTGGATGCAGAACAATGAAATTATAGTCAAGAAAGTAGCAGACATATGCAACACGGATGAGAACACGGAACTCTTTATGATTTGAGAGTATAAAATCATTGAAATAAGTAACCTCATTGCATATTCCTTCTTCATTTAAAATGCATAATTTTATGTAAATCAAAAGCAGAGAAATATTATGGAAAAGACAAAATGCTGCAGTTAAGAGGAAACATCAGAAAAAAAAAAAAGGAATATAACATGACATACCTCCGTAAGTTGCTGCTTTTTGTACTCCAACGTGTATTCTTTATCCATGTGGAGTTGCAGACGACAAAATTCATCCTCAAGTTCTGCTTCAAGCTGATCCATTCTTAAACTTCTTTCTCGCTTGTATATCTTCTTGTATGGATACTGACTACAGCCTAGAGTGACTTCTGAGTTTTCGATGTCATTCGAAGATGAATATTGATAAAAAGCATTTTCCTTAGTGCACAAAACTTCTTGGGCACCAGTCTCAGCGAAAGAGCTAGAAATTCTGGACTCAGATGGCATTAACAATGTATTCTCTTGATTTTTGACTTCTGTTCGCAAATTTTGAAGCAGCATTTTCATTTGTTTGTGCAACTCCACCATTTGGCTAAGTTCACTTCTGCTTGCAGCAATGAGATAAATTAGACCAAATCCAATTCCAAGGTTGAAAGAGGCCTCTTTTGCATGGACTGCTGAACAAATATAAACATGATTTGAGTTCGAGAGTGCAACTCTGTAACAACTAGATGAGAGTAGAGTAGTAAGAAATTTAATGCCATGATCATATGGAATATCCTGCAATACACTAACGGCATGTTTGGAATAGAAGAATGAACAGGGATCTCGTATCTCTTTTCCTTAATCAGTCGACTGGCATATATGAAACCAAAATCAGTAGAATGATGACAAGTACTTCTACGATTGCATCTTACAAAACAACATTATAGAGTTTACTTCGAACTTAATCAAATCCTGTTACTGGAAAGAGGTATCCAACCAAACTCAAACTGTCAAAGATAAGGCATGAAAAGTCATTTCTTGAGATTGATTATAATTAGAAGAGTACCAAAGAACCCAAAATGAAGCATTCACAATTGCTGTATATGTGATTAATACATAGAAATCACCAAAACGCATTTTTTTCCTCGAAACTTTAATTAAGAGAAGGACCGTGACAACATAAAATTTAGAACAAATGGTAAGAACTTAAAAAATATATCCGGAAAAAATATATCCGGCCTATTGTTAATTGATGGACGGACAAGATATCGTTCTCTTGACAGAGTATCGGTTTGCTACTTGTACATAATGGTTTACATACATGATGAGATAAGAATGAGTCACAATTTTTTCAACCAAATAGAAAAAAAAAAAACACTTCTCCACTCCCTTTTTTACACGTCATCTATACGTAAACCATTATGTAACTCCATTATGTACAAGTATCTTTATTATTACACAATTCATAACTTAGAAGTGATTTTGAACAAATCAGATATGATAAAAACAAATAATGAGATGTTTGGCTTAGCTTAACAGACAAAAATGCCAAAAAAAAGAAAAAAGAAACTGTCCGTATTTTAGCATTTTTGGCTTTTAAGCAAATCCAAACAAGCTCGTGAATCCCAATTTCATCTGAATACGTGTATCATCGTTCTTGTTACGTTTAAAGATGAAGGAAACTGGCAACAATCTCACTTATTTGAGATGGAGACTGAAATCAGGAATCAACCAAAAAAAAAAAAAAACTGACGCCAAATTTAAAAATTAAATCAATCCAGTTATTGATTTAATGAAACTTACCTGGCTCTTCTGGGGAAGAAGAAACAGACGAGTGGCACTTCTTGACAGCCTTATTTTTGCTCTTCACATCAAATCGTGCACACACCTTCTCTTTCTTCTCTCTTCTGTTCACTGTCTTCTCTGAACTCAAGTTCTCCCCATTGAGCCACCGTGAAAGAATCAACCGCGGCGATATACACGAGAAATTTGTCAAATTTTCTCTCTTTTTCCTCCGCCGTTCTATAACTGTTTCGCTACGGTAACCTTCACTATCCATCTCCGATTTGAGCAATTAATTTCGGGCTCTGCAAGTACCCAAAAAAGATAACTACATTATATAGAGATAATTATGACCCGATAGGCCAATATTCATTGCTATTATAAATGCGTGTATGCAAATTTCCATTAGTGTAGAGAGAGAATTGGAAGGTCGTTTGGTGTTGATCACGGGTTGAGAATGACTGTTGAAATACTTGAAAACAGGAGGGAAATTTATGAAGGGGAGAGTTGTATCTGCATTTTTCAAGATTGGATTTTTATTATTTATTATTGCGATATCTAACACAAATCCCTGCACTCAATGGCATTTAAAGTGGCATACTTCAGTAAAAAGAAGAATAGTTAATGCAGGAGTGAATATATACTGTGCAAGTTTAGTTTGGTAGCAACACATAAATTATTTTGTAGTGTTCATCCAAAATATTTGTTAATTATTATATTTTACGAACTCGACGTGGGTCAGTATTGGGCCAAACCCGACATCGAAACGTCCAAGTCAATCTGTATGAATCGATTCTTGTCTTTTGTCTCTTTCATTCACCTCGACCCGCAACTTCCATGGATCGGTCAGGGTGATTGATCATTCCAATCATGGGTCAAGTGAGAATTGATTCGTTTAAGTTTCCGAAGCCTAGGGGCAATCGGTCTTACTGGAATTCCTTCCTCCAATGTAGAAATTTCACCAACTACCTTAAAAATAAAAAAATAATAAAAAATTCCTTTTGGCTTTACAATAATTTTTTAACCAGATTTACTGCAATATAAGTACTATAAACCAAAATGGCAAATTATAAACTCAAACCCATAATCTCGCCCCATTTATTCCCAATTAAAAAATGTGTAATAGTGTTTAATGAATATCTTCATATTTGTAAGGTAGATATGAATTTTTCCGCTCCAAATATGGTGCCGGACTGGCCTAGGGTCCGGTTCACCACGTTATTTTGGACCGGCCGGTCCAGTCCGAGTATATTAACGAAGTTTGATAATATGCATGATTCAAGGTAAAAAGCCAAAATAATTATTGAACGTCACAATTTTATAAATTGAAAAATTATTATAATCTTGTTGAGACATGTATCACCTGAGAAAACAATCTCAATCTTTCGAAACATTAAGATAGAGACTTTATAAGGTTTTAATCCAGACGGCAGAGAAGGTACTCAACTTCAACAAATTTTGTTAAAGGGATAACCCATTCTCCATATAAGCGAGAAACTACAGATGGATTAACCTTGTACTTTCCAACATTATCGTTCTCTTTGAGATCCACGTCTTGTGCAAAAACCATCGCTTTCTTTTCTACTCTTTTCTTGATCATCTCTTCAACACTTTCAAATGTTAATAGTTTCATTAAAGCATCCTTGTCCTGCAACAACGTAGGAAAGGAATCGTTAAAGGGGATCTATCTACCTGCAATGCTTAAACAATTGATTAGTGGTTCGCTATACGAAAGGAAAATGCATACAGAAACTGAATTTCAAGAAGAATGCTGCTCGTAAAATGACATCAGATGAAGACCAGAAGATACTGATGTGCTATTTCTTTTCCATTTGACATGCATTTAAACTTTGATTTGGTTGGCCAGCAACTGATTTTTAATTGGTAAATAACACATACCTGAACACGTATTGCTCGAGTGTAGTTTTCTGGGGATTCCCTGAACTTAATCTCCGCTACGAACTTACCCAAGTGAATTCTTTTTGAAAGAGCCTAAAAGAGAATAATATTGAGCTTCATTCAGAACAAGTAACATTTTGAATCTATTCAAAGAAAGAAAACTGAAAGAAAGAACGAATGGAAAAATTAGTAAAAGAAACTATAGAAAAAATGAATTTGGCATCCATTTTTTATGTCAAGCATCCAATTTTCTTACCTGCAAGCAGTCTAGATCCCTAGCAGCAGTGATTGCATAACTCCCATCATCCCCATCCGACGTGATCAGAGGAAGCAGTTGCTTGCGATACATATTCATTATTTGCCCATTTATATTAATAGAAGCTCCCCGAGGATGCAAAACCTAAAATTGATGTTATTACATCATATATAATCTGTGCATCAGTCTAGGGAACATCCTTTGAAACTCAATATGTTATGATCAATATTTACCTGTTGACTATCTCCAGGTGGCAGCAATGGTGGTGGCAAATTATCTGGAAAGAAAGCATTCTCTTCTGCAGAAGAATACCGACCAACCTATAAAGAACCCAAACACGGAAAATTAATATAACGATGTAAAAGTTCTAAATATAGTCCTAAATTGGAAAAAAATTGCAGTTCATAATTTGCTGGCGGGACAGGTTATAGATTTCTCAAAAAGCTTAGCTCCTGTTTGGCATCCATTTTCTTCTCATTTTCTTTCTCATTTTTTTTTCTCTTTCTTCATTTCAACCACACACTCTATCAATAAAATAATATTACATATAAACTCAAAAATTCTCATTACTTTTTAAGCACACATTCTTCCATCAATCTCTATTCCAGAATTTCTTTTTTTTTTTCCAAAATGGGTGTCAAACACATCCTTAGTCTCAACTTCAGGAAATCTAGGTATGTCATGTAAATATTAATAAGATGGCATTATATCAAAAATTCATGATAGGGGAAAGCTGTTGTAGAATTAAGAATGCTTACTGAACATCAGCAATTGGAGATTTAATGGGATTAGCTTATACAAATCAAAACTTACAGATAGTTCAGGTTGGAACTCTAGACATATTAAAGTCTCAACTAAGTTCACAGGAAAAGAACAATTCAAAATTAGATAAAATTATATAAAAATGTTCTACTGCACGTTATGCAATTCGAGCATCCTGAAAGAGGACAAAAGCTTTTCTCATTCAAGCTTCACACTGGAAAGCACTGGGAAAAAGGTTGTAAGTGTAGGATGCATTTATATTTACATTTTTTAAATAAATTTAAATGTTATTAAACATATTTTAACTGGTTCAATTCAGTGCATTCAACTTCTAGCCAAAATTGGATAGTGACACACACTACTAGGTTTCATGATTTCCAATTCAATTTATTGGCTCGAGAACCAAGAAAGTATAAACTTTAAGAAACTATGGTTTGTCTTGATATCATCATGAACAAACAGGGGTGGAAGGACATGGGTGGGAGGGGGTGGCAACCGTCCCCACAACAATTTGTACGATTTTTATATTTTTTAAATATAAACACATAATACATTTATATTCTACCACTCCAACATTTTTCACCCCTTTCCCCTCTCCCCATGTAAAAATCCTGGCTCTGCCAATGTCAAACAACCTTAGATTTTATGATATGGTGTGGTATGAGGGGTGAGAGAGATATCCTTTAATGTTTAGCCCTTGTATTGAATATATAGGTGGTTAATTTAGGTCAATAAATACGTCCAATTTGATTTCTAAAAAAATTGGTATCATAGAAGGAAAGTTGACCCCAACTGTCTAGAATAACCCCATGATCACGCATGGTACATCTGCTTGCCCAACCATGGGCAAATGAAAATGGCATCGGGAGCCGAAAAAGTGCCCTTTGCACGCTACACGCACAAGTCAAATTTCTTTCTTTGTTTTCTGTTCTCGTTCAATTGGCTCCATATAATTTTCAAACCTTGGTTTGAGGTCCAAATCAACTATTGAATATTTTCAAACCTTGTTTTGAGGTCCAGGCTTGAGGTTGGTTCATTTGCAGTTTCATCCAAGGTAGAACAAGTTATTAATGAGCTGAATTTTACAAGCTTGACCTTTTCTACTCTTGAGCAAACTTCAACCAGTTTTAGACTGCCAATCAATGCTAGCCTCTTTAAGATCCAAACCTTTACTTCTAGCATTACCATCCACAGTGTAGTAAATAAGACAAGGATAGACTGGACAGTCGAATACTAAAGGTAATGCCAACATTCTTCAACTTGCTTAATAAACAACAAAAAGGGAACACATCCTCTCATTTCAATACAAGATTCCTAGCAGGGCAGGGGATGGGGGAGAGCCACCCGACCCATTGCCATCCTGATAGTCTTCCTATACGGTTTACATATTTCAGAAGAACCCCAGAAGTAAGAAGGATGAGCTGTTGGGGGAAATAACAGAAGTTGTAGAGAATGGGTGACTAGACCTAGTTTGTTAGAAGGGGGTTATAAATAGATAGCGAAAGAATGGAAGAGGCAGGAAATTTTAGAGTGGAGAGAGAGGAGTTCATTTGAGTGTTACTGCCTTCTAAAGGCACTTACTATCTTTCGTAATTGTAGTCGTTCTTTCATCTTCAATCAAAGTCTGCATATTCATTTCCTGTTATTTGCTTTCTCAGTAGAACCTTAACACATCCCTCACACAAACAAGATTTAGTTTTAATATTGTCTAGTATTGTTAAGTCCACCTTAGCAAATAGAGTTTCTAAGTGCATTAAAACATCACAGAACAACAACAGTCAATATACACATCAGAATCTATATAATCAAAATCAATATGCAGCATCATAAGTCAAGAAAAAAGATCTGGGAAATGCAAAGAAAATAACAGAAAGCAGTACCTTGGCTTGGACAGCTTCTGATTCTTTAACAAAAAATTCAAACAAAGAACCCGAAAGCCCGGGCCTTTCATCGTACATCCGAGAATTCATGGGATATTTTGCTCTCTCTATCAGACTAAAAATAATGGTGTCTTCTTCTCTCACCAAAATCTTTCTCAGCGTGTCAAGATTCAACATATCATCAGAGAAATTTCCCATCTCAGAAACTGAAAAATTTGCAGAGTTCTCAGGCTTATGAAATATTTGAAGAAGAGAAATTTTGTGGGTTCTGCTCTGGACTATCAGTTTTCACCACCAATAAACAAGAATGTGAAACGTGTTCGTCGGGGTGGGTAGGGGTCAAGGGTAAAAATATAATACTACAAAATGTAAAAGCATTACTAATTAGTCATTAGTGGGGTGCGTTGTGTGCACGGCTCGCCAACGTAACATACTTTTTTAGCTAACGTGCATTTTTCACAACGGATGTTTTATTCCCTAATCTTGCTAATGTACATTCTTGTGTAGGTCTTCCATTGCATTACCTCTATGTTGCAAAATTTGGACAGTGATGTTAAAAGGTGTTTGAGAAAATTAAAAGCTATAACAGTGAATATTTGGATCCTAATGTTTACGTAAGCAAGCATTTGAGTCCTTTTATTAATTTGAATTTCTAATATTTCATTTTTTGAAATCTCATAGAAATTTTAGAGGCTGTTTGGTGGTGATTAAAATTAGATTTTTAGTAAATTGTGATATTGAAATCTCATAGAAATTTTAGAGGATGTTTGGTGGTGATTAAAATTAGATTTTTAGTAAATTGTGATAGAAATCTTTGAAATGTGTGGTTGAAAAGCTGTGGGATCATAAAAGATATGGATAATATTAATTGTTTGACTCTGATTTAGATTAAAATCGGGCCTTAATATGCCCTTGTTTGTAAAAGAAAATTAATTTTTTTACCTTTTTTTTCAAATCTTTGAATGCATTGGGAGAGAAAAAAAGTCAAATAAAACGACTGAATTGATTGGCAACGGTAGGAAAATCTCTTAAAAGGAGGTAAAATTTGGAAACAAACAAATTGTTAATAAAAATTATAAAAAAATAAAAGAAAAGAAAATATTTTCCCGCCCACCCATCATTCCTATCCTACTGATTTCGACGAATGCAGTGGACCCTTGATTTTCAGTATCTAATGCAAAAAAAAATAAAATGCATCACAACTTACGGTGAATCAAATGTCCATGTCATCAAAATTTGTGATGATCATAAATAACGATGAATAAAATTACTCTATTGTTGCCTAGGCTCTAACTCTCCAACCTTATTGTCCCGATTTAACACTGTAGGGGAGGATCGGTGGCGTGAAAAATTAAATGCTCAAATGTAAGTCGAAATCCAATGCTAATATGAGAAACATTACCGTTGAAAACAGGAGTATTCCCAATAGCAGCAGAAAAACCCACAATACCCCATGAAAACGTCACAACGAAGAATAAGCACATAAACTTGGCAGCCATGGGAAGATTATTGTGCCAGGGAATGAGGGAATTGGTGAGGAAGAATGAGTGGGAGAAGATGAGGAAAAGAGGGGAGTAATTTTGGGATGGGATGGAATGGGAGGAAGTACACTGTACACCACAAAAATGTAATTTATTTTTATTTTTATTGCGTTAGGATATAATTGTAAATTTAGGGCTTGTATGGGAGGGATTAAAATCGGATTAAAATTGAAAATATAGTTGTTATTGTTGACTTTTATTAGACGGGTGGGACCCAATAACGGCCATATTTTCAATTTTAATTGAATTTTAAGCACTCCCGAACAGGGCCTTACTATGGTATATTCATTAAAAATAGGGTAATTCCATTTGTACAATGGATGTTTGACAATGAAAGTTGACAACCTCTCATGCGGGTTCTGTGTGATTAAAAATTTTCAAAAAAAAAAAAGTGGGCCCTCCCATTGTGAGGGTTGGTAATCCAACATTGTCATCATCCATTGTACATGTAGAATGGTTGTTAAATCCACAAATGATTTGTCACAATATCAAAAGAAAAAGGAAGGAATCAAACGAACCAGAAATCTTAGAAAAAAATCAGATTCTTATTCAGTTGAAGAAATTCAATATCAAGATGAAAAATCTCATTTTTTTTATTATTAAAGAGCTAATGAATGTGGAGGTGAAATCTATGTCGTCGTCCTTCACGAATTCCTCGAAACTGCCAACCTTCGGGTGTGGAAATGGTACGAGAAAAATCAGTTCTGGGTTTAGATTGCGGGAATGCCACCGGCAATGTCCCACGAGCTTTACGATAGGAAAGTGAATATAAATTGTACCAGCGCCGGCCAACAAATGTTAGTCTGCCTGAACTATGTAGAAAATTATAGCTATTTTTTGTGCAATTTGGTGACAAATAAATGGATTGAATTGCCCCAATGCTATATGAATGGGGAAGCCAAAGAATTGGTGTGCGCATTTTCTTTTGAGCCTAGGATTGAAGCTTCCTTGTACTAACTCTTGTTCAAGATTTTTTTTTTTTTTTTTTAATTTGTTTTTGTTTTCATGTGAAGTAAGGTTGACTTGAAACTAGGAAAAGAATAGAAGTGGCAGCAATAAAAATAAAAGAAAAAAGGACTGCTATTGCGATGATCTTGCCCCCAATTAGTGCTATTTGTGTATATTTGCCATTAAAGTATTAGCTGCCAGTCAAATGCGCATTATGCGCTTAGGATCAGACGGAGCTCGCTTGACCCACTAAAGATATTAAACAGGGAAAATTACTTCAAAACCTGCCTTTAAAGATTACATTTCAAAAAACAGGGGATTAAGTTTTATTTTTACAAATTAGATGGTAAATAGAATTATTAATTGTTATTAATAAAAATTTAATCAATCATTCATCCACAAACTCGATTCATTCTCTTCCTTATCTCTCTCTCATTCTCTCTCTCTACCACCCACCCAACCCCCAGTCTCTACCATACCTTTCCGACGCCGCTGCTCGTGGCGAAGCAATCCCAATCCCGATTCATTCTCTTCCTTCTCTATATCCTCTCTCTCTCTCTACCACCCACTCCTCCCCCAGTGTATACCATCACTTCGGGCAGAGCCGCGGCATCGCTACGTGCAGTGGCTCTGCCCCCCTCTAGCGACGGCACAACAAGGTACCATACTGCTGTGAGCAGTGGCGCTTTACTTCACAACCGTCGACCGATGTTTTCAATGGAGAATTGATTATTCCAGATCAACTGAAGACGAGGATGAGGAGGCGGCTGCTATTAACCAGGAAATAAAGTGTGTAAATAAAGTGTGCTTTTGAAGGTTACTGGTGAACTGTGGCTGAGGATGCTAGTGAAAAGGCTACTGCTTGTGCTGCAAGAAGCCGTTGGCGAAGAAGCCATCTTCAGAGAGTGGAATCTAAAATTGCCATGGGAAAAACTATGATGAAATTGAAGGAGATGATATGATAATTGCTACCATATGACGGTGTTACAACTCTTTTCTTTCTTTTGTTAAAGAAACATTAGATTTTTGCAATGCTTTAAATTTCTTATTCTGGTGGCTCAACAACTTGCTTTCATAGGACCCAACTTATTGTAGTAATGATATCTATGCCCATTGTTTTCAAGAGCAGCGCTTTTGGGCCAGGCCCAAAACATAGGCGCCCCCTCCAATAGGGGGGCGCCACATAGGCGCCCTGTCCTTGAAATCTCATAGAAATTTTAGAGGGTGTTTGGTGTGGATTAAAATTAGATTTTTAGTAGATTGTAATAAAAAATTTTGAAATGTGTGGTTAATATTGATTGTTTGACTCTAATTTAAATTAAAATCTGATTTTAATCAGAAACAAACGGAGCCTTAATATGCCCTTGTTTGTAAAAAAAAAATTAATTTTTGCACCTTTTTTTTTCAAATCTTTGAATGCATTGGGAGAGAAAGAAAGTCAAATAAAACGGTTGAATTGATTGGCAGCGGTAGGAAAATCTCTTAAAAGGAGGTAAATTTTGGAAATAAACAGATTGTTAATAAAAATTATTAAAAAAATAAAAGGAAAAAAAAAAATTTCCCCGCCCACCCATCATTCCTATCCTACGGGCTACGGATTTCGACGAATGCAGTGGACCCTTGATTTTCAGTATCAAATGCCAAAAAAAAAAATGCATCACAACTTACGGTGAATCAAATGTCCATTGTCATTAAAATTTGTGATGATCATAATTAACAATGAATAAAATTACTCTATTGTTGTCTTGGCTCTAACTCTCCAACCTTATTGTCCCGATTTAACAGTGTAGGGGAGGATCGGTGGCGTGAAAAATTAAATGCTCAAATGTAAGTCAAAATCCAATGCTAATATGAGAAACATTACCGTTGAAAACAGGAGTATTCCCAATAGCGGCAGAAAAACCCACAAAACCCCATGAAAACGTCACAACGAAGAATAAGCACAAAAACTTGGCAGCCATGGGAAGATTATTGTGCCAGGGGATGAGGGAATTGGTGAGGAAGAATGAGTGGGAAAAGATGAGGAAAAGAGGGGAGTAATTTTGGGATGGAATGGGAGGAAGTACACTGTACACCACAAAAATGTAATTTATTTTTATTGCGTTAGGATATAATTGTAAATTTACTATGGTATATTCATTAAAAATAGGGTAATTCCATTTGTACAATGGATGGTTGACAATGAAGGTTGACAACTTCTCACATGCATGCGGGTTTCGCGTGATTAAAAAATTTCAAAAAAAAATAGGCCCCTCCCATTGTAAGGATTGATAATCCAACATTGTCATCTTCCATTGTACATGTAGAACGGTTGCTAAAAATATGTTTTTAACTGTAATTATATCGAGTGTGGAAATGGTACGAGAAAAATCAGTTCTGGGTTTAGATTGCGGGAATGCCACCGGCAATGTCCCATGAGCTTTACGATGGGAAAGTGAATATAAATTGTACCGGCACCAACCAACAGATGTTAGTCTGCCTGAACTATGTAGAAAATTATAGCTATTTTTTGTGCAATTTGGTGACAAATAAATGGATTGAATTGCCCCAATGCTATATGAATGGGGAAGCCAAAGAATTGGTGTGCGCATTTTCTTTTGAGCCTAGTATTGAAGCTTCCTTGTACTAACTCTTGTTCAAGAATTTTTTTTTTTTTTTTTTTTTTTTTTTTTTCATGTGAAGTAAGGTTGACTTGAAACTAGGAAAAGTATAGAAGTGGCAGCAATAAAAATAAAAGAAAAAAGGACTGCTATTGCTGTGATCTTGCCTCAATTAGTGCTATTTGTGTATATTTGCCATTAAAATATTAGCTGCCAGTCAAATGCGCTTAGGATCAGACACAGCTCGCTTGACCCACTAAAGATATTAAACAGGGAAAATTACATCAAAACCTGCTTTTAAAGATTATATTTCAAAAAACAAGGGATTAAGTTTTATTTTTTACAAATCAGGTGGTAAATAGAATTATTAATTATAATTAATAAAAATTTAATCAATCATTCATTCCCAAACCCGATTCATTCTCTTCCTTCACTCTCATTCTCTCTCTCTACCACCCACCCCCAGTCTCTACCATACCTTTTCGGCATCGCTGCTCGTGGCAAAGCAATCCCAAACCCGAATCATTCTCTTCCTTCTCTATATCCTCTCTCTCTCTCTCTCTACCACCCACTCTTCCCCCAGTGTATACCATCACTTCTGGCATCGTTACGTGCGGCGGCTTTACCCCTCCCCCCCACTAGCAGCGGCACAACAAGGCGCCATACTGTTGTGAGCAGTGGCGCTTTACTTCACAATTGTCGACCGATGTTTTCAACTGGAGCATTGATTATTCCAGATCAACTGAAGACGAGGATGAGGAGGCGGCTGCTAGATCTGCTGCTATTAACCAGGAAATAAAGTGAGCTTTTGAAGGTTACTGGTGAACTGTGGCTGAGGATGCTAGTGAAAAGGCTACTGGTTGTCCTGCAAGAAGCCGTCGGCGAAGAAGCCATCTTCAGAGAGTGGAATCTCAAATTGCCAAGGGAAGAAATGTGATGAAATTGAAGGAGATGATATGATAATTGCTACCATATGACGGTGTTACAACTCTTTTCTTTCTTTTGTTAAAGAAACATTAGATTTTTGCAATGCTTTAAATTTCTTATTCTGATGGCTCAACAACTTGCTCTCATAGGACCCAACTTATTGTAGTAATGATATCTATGCCCATTGTTTTCAAGAGCCGTACTTTTGGGCCAGGCTCATAGGCGCCTGTCCTTGGGCCTGGCTTCGAGCCTGGCCAAGGATATTTGCTCTGTTTTCAAAAGCTGTTTCAGAGTTATGCCTTGAGGTAAGAATGTAAAGAGAAAAAGGTTGCGATAAAAATGGAATTATAGTAAAAGATTAGAGACAAAATGTTCTAGTGCTGGATCGGTGGAGCTCTTACCCTTGGGATTCTCTGTCGACGGAGTTTATTTAATTTTTGAAATTAAACAAGCTCATCCACTTCCTGTAAACAGCATCAACGT